GATGAGATCTCAGAATTTGTCCAGACCAATCCAACATCCGGCTGGAATTGGAAATCCATGCTTGGCGTTCTATGGAAATGTGTGTGTGTGTTGATGTCACCAACGCAACAAATACTTACAAGTCATTCCAACTTCCATTGATGCCAGGTTTGTAAGGCTCTCTCACCATCAAGTTGAGAAAAACAAACAGATGCGGAGGTTGATTCTTCATTCCAGTTTCTGCATAGCCCTGAAGGTAAAGTTTTAAGCCACTTGGGCGGTCCTTTGGAAGACTCTCAACGCTGAGATTACCAGGGAGTCCATGACAACCCATAAGATTCTTCATGCGTCGATGGTATCACAGCAGTGAATGAGAAGCCCAACCTCATTCCAAGATATGGGTCCCTTTATGTTGTTGCGGTCCCTGCCGGCCCTGTCTGTATCACAGCAGTGAATGAGAAGCCCAACCTCATTCCAAGATATGGGTCCCTTTATGTTGTTGCGGTCCCTGCCGGCCCCGTCTGTTTCCGCAATTTTGGAGGTTTGCCTGCACCAGGGCGGTCCATAGCTTGTTCCACGCCTTTTGGGGAACAGCTTTACACGTTCAGAGGAAAAGCCATGCGGCCAATCCTCTGCACTTTTTTCACGTGGAAACCAAAAGCCGTCATTTTCAGAGGAAGGTCGGCCTTGTCGGGTCCCATGTTCATCCGGTGAGCAAGGTGGTCTAACACTGGGTCCATTTAAGCGCCATCCCCAAAATTACCCTGTAAATTGCGGATTAAGGAGTACTTCTGAGAAACCCTCAAAATGGTTTCACTTCCAGTTTAAGGACCACCGGGTTGACGCCCCTTTGATGGAGGGGGGAGCCAAAAGAAATTCTGTTTGAGTCATGATCAAAATCACAACTGTTTCCACAAGACGCGGGACAATTGGGGCTCGTCCCCCAGAACTTGTGGGGAAGAGCAGCGAATCCCCCGGTTTGTGTGCGAAACTCAGAGTCCCGTGAATGAGACATGTCATGCCATTTTGACCAAACCTGGTCTGACCAAGATTGTACAGGTCAATGCAGGCTTTGCCATCCAAATGGAGCCAGGTAGTAGAACCACCAGCCAAAATTACGAATCCTGGGTTTGCGTCTTCGTGGCAACTCAGAGAACCTGGTTGAAGCTAAAATCGGCACTTTTCTAGGGGACACTTCCCCATTCTTTCCAGGGATCCTTCTTTCCAGAAAATCATCAGAACCGCAGGGGCAACAGCCAGTTATTGAAAAGAACGATAGTTGAAAAGAATGGTTGGAATCAACCCCTAGTCCCCACTAAAATAGACTAAACTGGGTGGCGCACCTACCCCCCAAAATGGTACCATTGGTTTTGACCAGCCACATGGATGTTTGTGAGGTGCTTGCGGGGTGCCCGGAAGAGCTTTGAGTGCCCGGCAGTAGCTGGTCTGCTCAGGGCCTTGGCCCAGCAGAAGCGCGTGGCTGGGCAGCGGCGCGAGGTCCTCCGCGCGGTGTAAAATCATCACCTCGGGAGGTTTTGTCGTCTTCGGGTCCATTTTTTTTCCTTGGGGGGTGGGTGGGTGGGTGTTTTTTTTTTTTTCTTTTTTGGGGTGGGGGTTTAGGTCCCTGTCTATTTTCCGCGTTTATTTGTCCTTTTCTGTTTGTTGTTTGGGGGGGTTTTAGGTCCCTGTCTGGTTTCCGCGTTTATTTGTCCTTTTCTATTTTTTGGGGGGGGTTTTAGGTCCCTGTCTGTTTTCCACGGGTGTTCTGTTTCTCCTTTTATTTTCTGAGGTTCTCAAAGTCAGCTGGTGCTTTCCGTGAACCTGCCACTTAGAGGGTGGCTTTGACACTGGTCAAAGGAACCTTTTGAGCTGAGTTTCTCTGATGAATGTTTGCATGCATATACAGTTTTATATGTGCCTTGTGCGTGCGAAAGAAATGAAGAAGCTGATATCCGTGAGAACTGGGGAATAAAAATGAGCAGAAACTGTGACATTGTCTGTGTGTGCGTCAATTCAGCTCTTCCGCATGGCAAACCTCCGTCGAGACGCGGATTCGGCGCGGTGTCAAAGTCTCGGAGACGGGCCTACTGGCATGGGCGCGCTGGTGCGCGACCTGAACAAAGTCAACAAATCGTGTTTTTTCCCCACGATCTCCATTTTGCCAGACACCTCGACTTTTGCAGGGTCGACCTTGACAAACTTTGTTTTGTGTTGTTCTGTCTTTAGATTTGGTCATTCATCACATGGTGAACCCTCTGCGAGAGATTGCTTGCACGTGCTGACATGCCGCTGCAAACAAAACACAGCTTTGCGATGAGGTCACAGAAAAAGAAAGGCGCGCAGGCGGGCCCGGGTCGTGACAGGAACTTGGTTGTTCAACGGGTATTAAGGGAAGATACATTGTTGGCTCTATATATCAGGATTATCAGTTGTAGAGGCGAGAAAAACATGCTTGAACATTTAAGGAGTTTAGGAGCCGAAGAGAAGAAACAAATAGTTCAAATTTATGAAAGGTCTGGAG